CTCACTCTGTAGCCCAGGCTGGCCTCAAACACACAGCAATCCTCCTGCCTCAGCCTCCTGAGTGCTAGGATTATAGGCATGCGCTACCACGCCCAGCTCTAAACTCTAAATAGGTGATATTCACCATGCTGTACCTTCCACTATTTCCACATTTGCACCATAAGAGTACATCATTACCAGGGCAGTCCATCTGCATAGTGCCCAGTGCCCAGCTGCAAATGCTGAGGGAGAAGCCAACTGGGGACAGAAAAATGGTTCATGAGAAGGCCTACTTATTTATTTTTTATTTATTGTAGTATGGGGGTATTAAACCCAAGGCCTTCGCACTGAGCTACATCTCCAGCCCTTTTTTATTTTTTTAAATTTTGAGACAGGGTCTTACTAAGTTGCCCAGGTTGAGCTCAAATGTGTGATCTTCCTGCCTCAGCCTCTCAGAGTACTGGGATTACAGGACTGAGCCACCATCCCCAGAAGAAAAGTCCAATTTACACAGCACTGTGTTCACATCCTTATCTCTTTGTTACTGTAAAAATAATGTCAAAGGTTTTCAGTATTAAAAATAAATTAATTTTCTTATACACAGGCTGGACTTCTGAGACCCCAGGTCGTAGGAATTAATTCTAACACAGAAGGATAAATGTCCACTGATCTTGTTTTCTGTATTTTTCAAGTACTCTTCTAGAGTGTATTATTATTTTTAAACTCTTAAATAACATCTAAATGAAAATTTGACATTAGTGTGTCACCTGTGAATGTGTCCCAGAGAGCTACATGATGTTCAACATGAAATTTTAGTCAGCTTGTAGTCAGGGTATTTGGGATTGCTTTTCATCTCTTACACGAGAATCTCACTGTTTTTCGCTGACATTCATCTTCACAGCACTCTTCAAGTGGCATTTTTGTTGTAAGTATATTTAGAGGGCTGATAAATCCAAGCTTTGGCCTCCAAAGGTCAAGCTGTTGATTTCAGTCTACATGGTGAACCCATGATTTTTATTCCAGTTTCACTCCCTGTAACTATGGATTTTTCTCTGCTACCTTGCCTCTATCATTTTAAAAGTCTGAGTTACGTTCTTGAAAGATTTCAGCATGTTGTAGGACTGCTTGTTTCCTGGTTAGCCTAGATTTTTGCCATAGTAGAATTCACTTAAAGATGTGTTACCCTACCTCTGCATGCCTTTCTGGTGGGAAACACTCAGAAAAGAGAGTTAAGGAAGTTAAGAATTTATGATTCTAGATTAGGTCAGGATTCGGGGGACAGTGAGTTACAATTCAGTTCTTCTGTGAATTAAAGGTGGGAATTAAGGGCTGAGGATATAGCCCAGTGGCACAAGTGCCTGCCTG